TAATAATAATAATACAGTAGGTTCTCATTTAGATGCTGGATTGATGATGATGATTAACAACAACAACAACAACAATAATACAGGAGACACAGGAGACTCTCATTTAGATGCTGAATAAATAATAATAATAATAATAATAATAATAATAATAATACAGCCGGTTCTCATTTAGATGCTGGACTGATGATGATGATATAACAACAACAACAACAACAACAACAACAATACAGGAGACACATAGACTCTCATTTAGATGCTGGATAAATAATAATAATAATAATAATAATACAGCCGGTTCTCATTTAGATGCTAGATTGATGATGATGATATAACAACAACAACAACAACAACAACAATACAGGAGACACAGGAGACTCTCATTTAGATGCTGGATAAATAATAATAATAATAATAATAATAATAATAATAATAATAATACAGCCGGTTCTCATTTAGATGCTGGATTGATGATGATGATATAACTACTTCTACTACTACTACTACTACTACTGCTACTAATACTACTACAACGACAACTACAATTATACAGGAGACACAGTAGATCTCAATTAGATGCTGGATAAGTAATAATAATAATAATAATAATAATAATAATAATAATACAATGGACTCATTTAGATGTTGGATAAAGAATAATAATAGTAATAATAATAATAATAATAATAATAATAATAATAATACAGTAAACTCTCATTTAGCTGCTGGATAAATAATAATGGCTACGAAGGGTCAAATTTTCCTGATGCTGAGCAGTGCACTGCATTCTGGGAAATGTAGTTCAGGGCAGGGCCTTTTGAATTCTCTGGCAAAATTTTCCAGAGTTCTGTGTTGTTCTCAGCAAACACTGCTTTCTCCCTCCTTTCCAGGCCTCTTCTAATGGCGAGAGACCATTAATTTACAGAGGAAGGGCAAGGCAGGCACTAAGCCAGCCTTTTTGGCTTTGCTTTCCGAGCTTTGCTTCCTTGCACTGAATACGAAGGCGACTTTGGGGGCCTTCCGAGAATTACAAAACTAAAACGAAAAAGTATGGGGTCAGTTTCGATTTCTTAATTTTTGTGTGTTGGATATTGCATCGTAAGTACGAATCATATGAAACTGATCCGACTTACAACACATTCCAATCCAGGCACTATCCTCCAGCTAGGATAGCATTGGCCTTTTGCACCACCGCATCACACTCATGGCTCATGCTCAGTTTGTGGTCTACTAAGACTCCTGTGCTTCCAGGCACCATTTAATATTTACTATCTATATCTCTAGCAAGGAGAGAAAAGGTCCGATCCAGGGAACCGGCAGCTGAACCTGCTGACGGATCATCCCCGCAGCTCCGACCTTTCCGACATTATGGAGGAGGAAGAGGAAGAGGAGGAGGAAGACCGTGCTGGGTCTCATAGGCCCAAATGGAAACCGAGCGAATCCCACAATCGAGAAAACGGAGAGAAGGTATGTCCGAAGCTCCCGATGATGAATCAGTAACACTAAGTAACACCATTTTTGTCCCAGGGTAATCAAAAACTATCCTTTCCAAATTGATCCTGTTGTAAAAACAAAACACGGGAAAAAATTATTATATTGCAGAAACTTTGCGGGAGGGACATCATTTATTTTTATTGATTGATTGATAGATTGATTATCCCTCCAGGCAGAGACTCAAAGTGGCTCACAATTCAAAAAAACATTAAAACTTAAAATATACTAATATGCTATCATAAAACAGTACATCATTATATATTACTATATACTATCAGTAATAATTATATATACATACACACACACACATATATATACATATATTATCAGTAGTAATTATATTTAATATATTGTTATTGTTATATTATATAATACTATATAATACAACAAGGTATTGTTATATTATATAGTATTATATAATACTAGCCGTCCCCTGCCACGCGTTGCTGTAACCCACTCTGGTGGTAATGGGGGTTCTGTGTGGGAGGTTTGGCCCAATTCTATCGTTGGTGGGGTTCAGAATGCTCTGTGATTGTAGGTGAACTATAAATCCCAGCAACTACAACTCCCAAATGTCAAGATTCTATTCCAAACTCCACCAGTGTTCACATTTGGGCATATTGAGTATTTGTGTAGAGTTTGGTCCAGATCCATCATTGTTTGAGTCCACAGTGATCTCTGGATGTAGGTGAACTACAACTCCAAAACCAAAGGACACTGCCCACCAAACCCTTCCAGTATTTTCTATTGGTCATCGGAGATCTGTTTGCCAAGTCTGGTTCGATTCCATCGTTGGTGGAGTTCAGAATGCTCTTTGATTGTAGGTGAACTATAAATCCCAGCAACTACAACCCCCAAATGACAAAATTGATTTTTTTGAGTGAAGGACATACATTGAGTTGTTAGGTGTCTTGTGTCCAAATTTGGTGTCAATTCATCCAGTGGCTTTTGAGTTCTGTTAATCCCACAAACGAACATTACATTTTTATTTATATAGATTAATAGTATTATATTATATTACATTACAATATTATTATCAATATTATGTGTACATACAATATATTATATGATTAGCATAGCACAATAACAGCATTATATTATGTATAACTATATTGTACTATACCACTATACTGCAATATTATTAGTAATATTATTAATTTTTAACGATAATAATGAGAAGACAGGAAAGCTTGGAGAAGATAATGATGCTGGGAAAAATTGAAGGAAAAGGGAAGAGGGGTCGACGAAGAGCCAGATGGATGGAAAACGGAAGAGGGGCCGACGAAGAGCAAGATGGATAGATGTTATCCTTGAAGTGACTGCCTTGTCCTTGAAGGAGCTGGAGGTGGTGACCACCAACAGGAAGCTCTGGCCTGGACTTGTCCTTGAGGTCGTGAAGAGTCGGAAGCAACTGAACGAGTCAACAACAAATAGATAGATAAACTCCAAAATCCCGACGTTTCGCCTACTATTAAAGGCCATTTCTGATCCAGTTCAGAAAAGACAGGGACTATTTGGGCACTTGCCTCTTCCTTTGCAGTGTATGATATATGATATATGCTCCGTGAACTTGCCAGGGCCTCTCTTTGAAGTCAATACGGACTTTAGGAGGGTCTCCCCAGTAAGAGAGACCCCTAGGACCTCACCAAAGAGGGTCTATGACCTTGGCGAGCCATCAGAGAAGCCTGATTCCAGCAATTCTATTAATATTAATAATTAAAATGAGACTCTTGCCAAGGCGAAGAAGAGGCATCGAGGTTTAATGAGCGATTCAGCTGAAGCGGGTGCAATTGCAGTGATCATTCACATGCAAGCCTATCAGTACATTGATCAGAGGCATATTTATAGCAAATTCAAAGTTGCAGAGTTCAAACTCCCCGCCCCGGCTTCCCTGTTGTTCCCTGCCATGATTGGGCGATGGGCTCCAGTGGTCTGTAGGAACCAATGGGGAGACCTCTGCCACCTGGTGGCGACAGCCAATCAGGAGAGATGGAGGCGGGATGAGGGAGCACAAAGGAATCTGGGAAAGGAGTAAACAAAGGAAATGCCATGTGGCCGGCGAGACAAAGGGGAAATCTCAAGCCAGCCTGATCTATCAACATGTGTAGGCTGGGGTGATTTTTTCTTGGTGGAGATAGCTGAGTTAATCAGAGCGAAGGCAAAAGGTTTTTCGAGGACCTTTCGTCCTTCAGGAGGAAATATGATTAAGATTTTTGCCAAAGGGGCAAGCTGAGGGCTGGGCAATTCCTCCGAGGGCCACCAACTGCCCAGGCTATTGTTCATGCAAAAGGAAGTTGTGGATAAAAAAAATCCTGGAATGTTTGGGGCTTTGTAGTCCCTTTTGTGGAGTTTCTTCATGTATATAGGGGAAACAAAGGTCAGAAGAAAAGGGGAAAGGCTTCTGCCACACAAAGAAATCAGAAAACACATTTCATACATCTAAAGTTCATAAAAGGCAAGATTTCATAAGGTTTGTCCATGTGGGGGGAAAGAGTGTCCATAGGGGATGGCTAAAACGCAAGGGTGTTGCACAAAGGTCCTGGCAGGAGTTCTTGAGTGGCCCAAATGGACCTGGTGTCTCTGGAAGCAAGCTTTGCTCCCCGTCCTTGGAGAACTACAGCTCCCGAGAGAGGCAGAGACCCCAAGGTCTAGCTATTCCCGAAGTTTCATGGGGTCCTCATTGTTGTTAAGGCCTTGGCAAATTGACCAAGACTTAACCCCTATTGTGCAGTCTGGTACCTTTGTCCTTTGCAGAACTATAAGTCACCATCCCTTTTGGGGGGGGGCATGCTCGACGTCATCTTTTCCCGGCGTGGGAATTACAGAAGTTTCTAAAGTCTGATTTACTGTACAGAAGACCCTGAGAGGCGGGTTTCATGAATTCATATGATGAAAGGTAAGAATGAGATTTCACAAATGAAGACATGAAGCCATTATGAAGACCGGTGGCGACCTCGTCGAAAGAGATGAAAACAATAACGTGACCTTTCGGAGAAGAATCGGGAAGGAAATAGAAGCCAAGGATGGCATCCCAACAAAGGATAGAAAGATGATAGGGAAGTTACTTGTATCTCCTCGACTCGTGACCTGTACTTTTTGAGATTTCAAGCATTCCAACGCCTTTGAAGGAGAGACGGTAGGTGCCATTCCTCCCTTTTAATGCTTCTTTCCTCTCTCTTTCTCTTTCCTTCCCTTCTTCGGGGCTGGATCCCCGTAGTTCGACTCTGACGGCGACAGTGACGAGGAAGTCTTGGAACGCATCCTGGAGGCGGCACCATTGCCGAAAAACCACAGCAAAGCGCTCTTCAGCATCCCGGAGGTCACCGAGGAAGAAGAAGAGGAGGAAGACTGGGCACGCAGAGAGCCATCTCCTGTCAAGAAAGCAAACAATCAGACGGAGACACGGATAAAGTCTCGGCCGAAGAAGTGCAGTGGTCTTTCCGGATACGGGCAAACATTCGGAATGAGGAAGGATGAGCTAAGCTGGGAGTGCCGAGAAGAACACACCGGGTTCGGCAATGACAAATCGCGAAGCAAACGGGAGTGGAAAGCCAGCCCGGATCGAAGCCGTGGCACGATTGGAGGAGGCCTTTATCGGGCCCACAGTTTGAAGGAGAACCTGGATGTGATCACCAACCTCGAGCCAGAGTCCGAAATGTGTGGCTGGAAATCTGTCCGCCGACGTCGCATGATGCCCCAAGAACCCGTCCGGAGGCTCTGTTTGAGTCCGGAAAGTCTGGAGATTGACGTGGAATACGACTCCGAGGAGGACCCTACCATTATGTCCACTCTGGTGACCAACTTGAGCTCGGCCGACGGATCGCCCACTGACTGCGAGGAGGAATGGAGTGACTCCTCGGAATCTGTCCCGTCCAGCGCTCCAAAGGAATTGAAGCGCTGCAGCAGTTGGGACGCCGACGAGCGGACTGAGGCACGGAAGGGGTCTCCGGGACACTCTCCCCGGTGGAGGAAGCAGACAACCGGAGCGGCCGTAGAGGAGCGCAGCCGTAGCCTAGAGAGGAGCCCCTCGCTCTGGAGAGCCCTGACTGAACACAAAGACCCTCCTCCAAATTGGGTCCGTGAGATGCTAGGGCCGCCGATGTGCTTCCGCGCTTGCCGCAACCCCGGTCATGCTTGCCACCCACGCTTGCATTCCGCTATACGATCTTTTCTGTGTGGCAAAGGAGAGCTTTCACTCTGTGGCTGTGTTGCATTAAAAAAAGTTGTCGCATTTGTGGCACGCTCTCTGTCGCTTCTGTCGTGTTTTGCTCCAGTGGCCGGCCAGTCGTCGTTGGCTGAATGTTTCCAATGCAGTATTCCTCTTGTATGATTTGTAGGATTGTTCACTGCTTTGAGTTCCTTTCTCAAAAGCAGGATAAACGAACATTATTATTCTTATTACAGTAGAGTCTCGCTTATCCAACCTTCCCTTATCCGACATTCTGTCTTATCCAATGCTCTTCTCCAAAGGAGTGCTTCTCAATTCTCTCTCCATTCCCAATGAGTGAAAAAGGCAAGTCGAGGAAGAGGAAGGAGGAAAGGGGGAAAAGAGGCAGGAGTGAAAGTGGAAGTGTCCTCCCGCCTTCCCTCTGTGATTTCCACGCTCCTCTTCCGCATCCGGGCACTTCCTGCTGGGCCCTCTAGCCCCGGGGTGTTGCCTTGCTTTAATCCTTTGAGTCGCTGTTGTTAGTATTCTAGGTGTCTAACACCACGTCGACAGCTAACAGTAGGACGACTAATGTATTATCCAACATTTTTGTTTATCCGACGTTCTGCCTGCCCATTTATGTCGGATATGTGAGGCTCTACTGTAGTTCTTGAATTGGATTCTCGTTGTTAATAAAAACCTCAAGGGCAACATAGTTTGAGACTCCTATCCCAATGTAGTGACCACTTTCAACTTTATAGAGAGTGGAAAGTTCCAGAATCTTTTGGAATAAAGAGAAATGCTGCATCTTTGGTGCTTTGCTTTGTGTGTTCCTCTCGCGGTGATCTGGAATCTGGTGTCAGTTGGTGACTCCCAGGTCAATGGGATGGCGAATTTGTTCCGGATTTTCCTTGGTTTTTATGGATTTCTCCAAGGTGACTACAGTTCATCACTTTGGAGAGATCTGATTAAAACCAGGAGTGGGTTTGTTATCCCCCTGACATGGGATCCTCCACAACCATAGACAAAATTCAAGCCGAAATTGTGGAGAGGATTGTGACTGATTTCATGCCTCTTTCAGGAGGTCAGGGACGTCGAAACGGAGCAGTTGAATTCCAAATCTTGGCGGGCTCCAACCAGAAGAGGTAGAAGATCTCGGAGGAAAAGCCGAGAAGAATTGGCTCCTTCTGGTGAGTTTTTGTTTTCTTAGGGCTCAGTTTGGTCAGGAAGAGAGGCGGAAACACACTCTGAGCCTCTCCATCTCTGACAGGTTCTTGGAGGAGCTCCTCTCCTGAAACGATGGACGAGGAAGACTCCCTGAGGCTATTCGTGGCTCTCTTTGACTACGACCCTGTCTCAATGTCTCCGAATTCTGATGCTGCAGAAGAGGAGCTCCCATTTCAGGAAGGCCAGATCTTGAAGGTAAGATTTGGGACTTGGAAGAAAGAGCTCCAGAGCTCCAAAATCCAATATTTTTATCTATGATCTACCCAGTTGTTGCCAAGATGTCAGGTTCTCCAAAATCAAACTAGGTCTTGGGTAATGTGGTCTCCATTGTTGCCTTCCTTTGTTAAGAGCTCAAGTTCATCTCATTTATTTTGACAGTTAGGCTCTCCTTTTCTCCCTCAGGTCTATGGCCACAAGGATGCAGATGGCTTCTACAGAGGGGAGTGTGCAGGCCGAATTGGGTATATCCCATGCAACATGGTTTCTGAGGTCCAAGTCGACAGCCAGAGTGCCAGGACGCAGCTCTTACAAGATGGCCGTATCTCCACTGACATGCTGGTGGAACACCTAGGTGATCCTTTTAGTTGAACACTTCCTTTCTTCTCTATTATCTGACTATGGAGATCCAGTTTAGATCCAGTTTCAACTCTGTTTCAAAGGTGCCAAACTTGTATAATGAAATGATGGACAACACAACACAAGTGGTCTCTGTCATGTGGCATGATGCCCCTCAAATCATCTCAAAATGTTCATCAAAACAAGGAAGTAGAATTCTTCAAGGACAAATGTCAATTATTGAATCCTGGAAATTGACTCTCAAGGTTCTTTTTACCCTTGAAAGTATCCAGTAGAAGGTCCCTAGATCTTCTGAACACAGATTACTGATTGTTCAAGCAGCCAAAAATCCCAAAGCCATCAAATTAATATCATCCTGTGGAATGATCCTCCAGTCATTTCAGCGTTAGCTCCTCAAATCCCTAGAAAGCCAAGATGGTGTTGGGTTTGGACTCCAAGAGCCAGGCATGCAAAGCTGAAAGGTTCAAAGTTACAGAGATCTGGGAATGTTCCAAGTTGGAGTTTTGGAGAGCTTGCAAAGATCTCTAGATCCATGGATCCAAATGTTTTGGATGAGGCAAAGCTGAGAAGCTCTAGGTTGGAATTCTGGAGATCTTGGACCCATGGATCCAAATGCTAGTCTTCCCAAACACCTGGAGGGATCACCTTTTGTATCCATGGGTCTATAACTTCAAATGCTATTTTGAGCTTCAGCTTGGAACTTCTCAACTTCCTGGGCTTCAAGATCCAACATCCAACACCAGCTGTGGTTGACCATCCCCAAAAATTTTGAATGAGGGAAAGCTGAGAAGCTCTAGGTTGGAATTCTGGAGATCTTGGAAAGATCTAGACCCATGGATCCACCTGCTGGTCTTCCCAAATGCCAGGAGGACAACCTTTCGTGTCCATGGATCTAGATCTTCTAACACTTTATAGAACTCCAGCTTGGAAGTGCTGAACTTCCTGGGCTTCAAGATCCAACATCCAACACCAGCGGTGGTTGACCATCCCCAAAACCATGATTGACTCCCAAAATTGCTTGTAGACTTTGGATTTGTCTCCTTCTGGACAAGACTGGTGGCTAATACAAGTTTTATTTACTTTTTCCCCTGCACGCAGACAATGGTGCATTTTCTCCACCACGACGGCCACCAAGGGCTCACCCTCCAAAGCCACGGAGATCTAAGAAAGGTCTGTTGATGTCCCTCAAAGTCTTTCAAGTGCTGCTCTCCTTCCCTTCTTTGATGACCTTTTGAGTATTTCCATGACAAAATCTTCCTCTCATGATGTCTTTTGTCCCCACAGCAGAACGGAAGAAGCAAGGAACCGAAGGTCCTGGTCTTGGTGAGTCTCTATTTGGGCCAAAGAAGACCTGGATCCCTTGAGGAAGAAATGGGGTCAGTGCCTCTCTCTTTCTCTCTTCAGGGGTCCATGAAATCCAGGATCTGAGTTCGGAGGAGGACGTCCCAAGGATGATGGTAGCCATCTTTGACTACAATCCCCAGGAAAATTCTCCCAACCCGGATACCGAGGTGAGTGCCCACTTCATATGGTCACAGCTGAGTTGTGTAGAACATTAAAGGGCGATTTTTCAAAGTTTGGAGAAGTTATTTATTTATTTCCATACTGAGATTCTGTCACTCTTCAGGAGTGGATTAGTTGCAAATTCCTGCATGGTTCACATTATCCATGCGACTGCATCCTGCCTCCCTTTTCCCTTCTCATAGAAGGTTTAGTTTCTCCCTTCTCCAGCTATGAGAAAAACCTGTTTTCTCGCTTCCCCAGCTCTGTGAAGACCTACTTTCTCCTTTCTCCAGCTCTGCAAAGACCTACATTCTCCTTTCTCTAGCTCCAGCTCCCCTCACCAGCTTTGAGAAAGCCTGCTTTCTTCTTTTGCCAGCTCTGAGAAGCCTCACTTACTCATTTCTCCAGCTCTTGAGAAAAACCACCTTCTCCAGCTTCATGAAGACCAACTTTCTCCCTTCTCCAGCTCTGAAAAGGATGGCTTTCTACCCTCCCCAGCTGTGAGAAGCCTCTCATTCTCAGTTCTCCAGCTGTGAGAAAAATCTGCTTTCTCCCTTCCCTGGCTCTGAGAAAAAAACCTGTCTTTTCCATCTCTGCAAAGACCTGCTTTCTCCCTTCTCCAGCTTTGAAAAGGCCAATTTCTCCCCTCACCAGGTTTGAGAAAGCCTACTTTTTCCCTTCCCAGCTGTGAGGCCTACTTTGTCACTTCCCCAGCTCTGAGGGAAAAAACTGCTTTCTCCAGCTGTGCGAAGACCTACTTTCTCCCCTCCCCACCTTTGACAAGCATCACTTTCTTTCTTTTCCAGCTCTGAAAAGGCCTAGCTTTGAGAAGCCTACTTTCTCCTTTTCCCAGCTCTGAGGCCTACTTTCTCCCTTTTCCAGCTCTGAGAAAAAAACCTTACTTTCCAACTCTGTGAAAATCTACTTTCTCCCTTCTCCACCTCTGAAAAGCCTACTTTCTTCCCTCACCAGCTTTGAGAAAGCCTACTTTCTTCTTTCCCCAGCTCTGAGGCCTACTTTCTCTCTAAGCTCTGAGAAAAAGACTGCTTTCTCCAGCTCTGTGAAGACCTACTTTCTCCCTTCCCCAGCTCTGAGAAGCCTCCCTTTCTTCCTTTTCCAGCTCTGGAAAGATTTACTTTCTACCTCCTTAGCTTTGAGAAAGCCTACTTTCTCCCTTCCCCAGCTCTGAGAATAAACCTGCCTTCTCCAGCTCTTCCTTTTCCAGCTCTGGAAAGGTCTACTTTCTATCTCCTTAGATTTGAGAAAGCCTACTTTCTTCCTTCTCCAGCTCTGAGAACAAACCTGCCTTCTTCAGCTCTGTGAAGACCTATATTCTTCCTTCTCCAGCTTGGAGGAGCCTCACTTTCTCCCTTCCCCAGCTCTGAGAAAGAAAAATCCTACTTTCTCCCTTCCCCAGCTCTGAAAGGGCCTACCTCGCAACGTCTCAATGGGAACACTCTGGCAATGGTGGGCCAGCTTTTCTTTCCTTCCTCCCTTCCCCTCCAACTTGTGCCTTGTGACGTTGCAGAGGGCCACTTCACCTGAGTAACTTTCCAGAGGGCCACTTCACCCAGCTCAGCCTTTGTGGTGCAAACGGACGTACCTACCCACTTACGTACCTACGTACTTTGACTTATATCTGGATAGAGATGGATGTCTGAGTAGACTGACACGATGCCCTCTTTCTTTGCTTCTTGACTTCCAGGCCGAGCTGAGGTTCAGCGCGGGCGACGTTGTGACCGTCTTGAGCTCGATGGATGACGACGGCTTCTATTACGTGAGTCCCGTGCTGTTTCCCGAGCCGTGGGGAGCGTGGCCCGTGGGTCTGCCTTTGGGGGTCCCCACATGATGGCATTGAGGCCACAGCTCTCTTCTCTTCCCGCAGGCCGAGATCAATGGTCAGAAGGGACTGGTGCCCTCCAACTTCCTGGAGGCCGTGGGGTCGGACGGAGTGTGCCCGGGTGGAGTGACCCTTGGACGGCAGGGAAAGGTAAGGAAAAGGACAGGCATTCAAAGGACAGGAAAAGATGATTAAGGAGACATTCCTGGTGGTCAAAGCCTTGGAGTTCTTCTCTGGGGGTTTCTAAGATGAGGCTAGGTGGCCATCTGTTGGGAGGGTTTGGATTGTGGCTCCCCGACTGGCAGAAGGACCAGGAGGTCCTTGTGGTCTCTTCAAATTCTATGATTTTATTTATCTTATCTGCTTTGTCGTGGGTGCGTGGCAGATATGGCCGGAGAAGGCGACAGCCAGCGGGCGTGCGTTCGTGCGGGAGTGGTCGGGCGGTGTCGTGTGGGATGCGTAAAGAATGTGCTGGCTGGGGCAGCTGCGGGCTGTTCTTCCCACTGACGGGCGGCGCCGACAGTCCAGCATACAACGTGGGGCGGCCGGCCGCGCGTGGCTGCGGTCAGTTCTGACGTGCGGGCCGGACAGCCGGCTGCCGCACGGGGCGACACTCCCGGCATGGCAGTCAGCCCTCACGCCACTTCGCGGGCGTGGCGCAGGCCGTCTCGGCATTCCGTCGGCGAACTCCTTTCCCCATCCCGTGCGGGGCATGCGTGCCGTGTGCCGGGTCCTTCAGTCTTCCGGCTTCCTTGCATTGCGTTTGCCTGCCTGTCATTCTGCCGGCCGTTCGCTCTATCTGGCGACTTGATCGATGGGCAGCCGGCCGTCCCGTCTCCCGCCCGCGCTGGCCGGGCTGCAAGGTATGCCCGCCGAGCCCGGGGCGACCAGCTACTCGTTCTTGCGTGTCTGGCTTTCTTGAGTCGGTCGTTCGGGCGGGGCCGCCATGCTACCGCGGCCCAATCGGTTTGGTTCAGTCCTGAAGCCCCATCCCATTCCTGAGCAGCTTGGCTGCCGCGGGCGAACGCACGCTGGCGGGAGCCCGGCGGTTGAGCGGGCATGCGGTTGGGCGGCTGGAGTTAGTTCGGGAGGGCGGTCTGTGGCCGCAGGCCGGCAGACGGGCCGGCCGGGGCCGTACGTGAGCGCCGAGGCGGAAGGAAGTTAGGAGGGGAAAGACGGGAGGAAAGTGACGACAGAACATGAGCGTGCGGAAGGCGCACAGGTGCGGGCAAGAACGCCAGAGGGGAAGGGATTTAGAGGAGGATGTAGTGATGGAGTTCGGGAGGTCGTGTGACGGAAAGGAGACCGTCAGGATCCACCGCTGTTCATGGGGCGTGGTGGAGGTTAAGGGAAGTCGGAAGAACGACTAAACGCATGGACATTTGCTCGGTCGGTAAGACGTACGTCTCACGCCATTGCTGCCGTACAGTCCGGCACTTAATTTCGTCTGTCGTATCTTTCTAGGTGCTAGGTCTTTATTAGTACGTATTCGTGGGTGTTGATGGTTATTTCGTTCAATTGTGCATCTACTCCTTTCTCACTCTCTCCCGCTATGTCTCTTCCTTTAATGCCGGCGCTTTCATTTCTTTCTTCTTGTCTTTTTTCTTTATTCTTTCTTTCTGTCTTGCGTTCGCCCGCATCATCCCTACTTCCTTCCGTACATTCTTTTCTCTTTCTTGTTCTTTCTTTTCGTTTCTTTGGTTGCTTTCCATCCGCAGTCTACAGCCATCCACTGCAATCCATAATCGATGGTAGACATTCATGAATCAGGCCTCCTCATGCTGCAATGGAATTTGCTATTCTGCTTTAATCACTGTATTTGCTTATGGTTTGATTCGGACTACAATCGCAACGATCAGTGCCGTGTTCCTTCCGTACTTAACTCTGTGCGCTGTGCGGAGGGAAATGGTGGTAGGGGTGGTGAGGGGGAGTGACTAGGAGGCCAGAGCCAGCACGAGAGAGACAAACGTCCGTCTTGGTAGATTGAAGGACGGCCTTAAGGTCCTTCACGGACGTCAGTTCATTCCGGCTTTCCTGTACGTGCCGTTACTGCTCACTCTGGACCTGGGCGGGGCATTACGGCAAGGACAGTCCCCATGTTGCCGGACCGTCCACTTCCTCCTTCCTTCTTTCCTTCCCTCTCTCCTTCCTTCCTTCCTTCCTTCCTTCCTTTCCTTCCTTTCATTCTCCAGCAGCTTTCCTGAGAGGTCCTCCATTCCGGCAGCTGGAAAGTGTGGTGCCTCGAAGGAGTGGTGACCTCGAAGGAGCCCCTTGCGGCTCTTTGGAGGTGGACACACCGCTCCGAACCCCAAGAGTGGACCCCGAAGGTGATGGGACGGGACCCCTCTCCTCTCCAAAGGGTCCCAGAACTGGAAGGAGCCCCCCAAGGCCCATTGGAAGCCATTGCAAGGAAGTCCATGTCGCCAATGCGGGCCTTCGTCTTCTGGCCCCCCTTGAGGCTGGGGATGGGAGAATGGCTCCCCGCCTTGGGATCCCTTCCGAACTAAAGACAGAACTTATCCTAAACTTGGAAAATATAGTTTCCACCCAATGAGAAACTGTGCCAAACGCATGGGGCGGCCCCAATGGTTCCCACACCGATCCCTTCTGCATGATGCGTTTTGGGTGTTAGTCTGAACTTTGAAGGAGTGGCACCCATTCAGACCTTAAATTCGGACTAAAGCCTGGCGTGGCTTCAGCGATTGACACACAAGCCACACTGGGACACATAAGAGTAATTCAAACTTTCTTAAATTTTGGACTACAACCCGAAGTGAATCCAATAACTGACCTAGATGCCTTGCTAGGCAGCATATAAAGGGGATTTTAGCTTTTAAAAAGTTCGGACTAAAACCCAGAACAGATTCCATGGAAACTAATATTTAAAGTTCGGACTAAAACCCAGGATGGATACCATGGAAACTAATATTTAAAGTTCAGACTGAAACCCAGAACAGATTCTATGGAAACTAATATTTAAAGTTCGGACTAAAACCCAGGATAGATACCATGGAAACTAATATTCAAAGTTCGGACTAAAACCCAGATTTGATTCCATGGACACCAATATTTAAAGTTTGGACTAAAATCCAGAGCAGATCGCATGGAAACCAATATTCAAAGTTCAGATTAAAAGCCAGAATGGATTCCATGGAAATTAATACTTAGTGTTTGGACCAAAACCCAAAATGAATTCCATGGAAACCACTATTTAAAGTTCAGACTAAAACCCAGAACAGATTCCATGGAAACTATTATTTAAAGTTCAAACTAAAAGCCAGAATGGATTAAATGAAAACTAATATTTAAAATTTGGACTAAAATCCAGAACGGATTCCATGGAAACCAATATTTAAAGTTCGGACTAAAACCGAGAACAGATTCAATGGAAACCAATATTCAAAGTTCAGACTAAAATCTGGAGTGGATTCGGTGATGCTCTGTACCCAGAAGCCATGTAGGGTCGCATCATAGCCTCGTTAAAGTTCGGACTAAAATCCTAGAGTGGATTCACTGAACAGGGCCTCATCGAGGAGGTCTTCGCTCCGTTCAAGTTCGGACTGAAACCCGGAGCGGAATCAGCGTCCCACTGAACATGGAAAGCCACTCTGGACCTTGGAGTAGTTAAAAGTTCGGACTAAAAGCCCAGAACGGATTCAGTAGAAACCACGCTGGGTCCTCAGAGAGGGAATCGCAGTCTCGTTCCAGTTCGGACTCAAACCCGGAGCGGATCCGGGCCTCCAGCCTGCCTTATGTGAGATTCCAAGCTGCCAAGCACTTAAAATATGGGGACAAAAATGTGTTTGCCATTTCCTTTTTTCTACGAGAGGACTACGTCTCCCGGCGGATCCCTTTGCATGTTTGTCGGGGACAGAGATATCCATTCCCATTGCTCCCAGGGCATTTGTATGGAAGCCAAACCAGGAAAAAAAACCCCAATTTATTTATTACATTAAAGTCTATTTTCGCAACCGGTCCGAAGGCTCCTTTCTTTCCCCTTCCCCGGGGTCTCAAACTGCGCTAAGTGTGCAGTGTAGATGCATTTGGGAACTGCTTTGATGTACCTTGCAAAGAAGGAAGCGGCTTTGCGGCATTTCTTTAACCCATGTCGCCATATCTTCAGATTGTGGTTTTTCAATGGAAAAGGTGTCCCAATCCACATCGGTTGGTCTGATGTTGATACGTTTGGCAAGATCTCACCATGGTTTCCGATAAGCATTGAATAAAAACGGCTTCTCAGTGCACGCTGACATTGGGAAATAATCACTTTTAGGCACATTCCTATTCTTATTAATTAATTAATTAATATTATATTATATTTATTTATTTACTATATTTGTATACCGCCCCTCTCAGCCCGGAGGTGACTCGAGGCGATTTGATTTCATGATTATTATTATTATTATTAATTTTATTGTATTATTATTATTTAATTTTATTATTATTATTGTATTATTATTTTTATATTATTATCATATTATTATTGTTCTTGCATATTATTATTATAGTTGTATTATTTTTATATCATTATTATCATCATCATATCATTGATTTTGTATATTATTTTTATTTAGTTTTCTTATTATTATATATCATATTGTTATAATATTTAATTATTATAATATTGTCTGCTTTCATAATCCAACTCAAAGCAGATATTGTGGGATTTTCTACTTTGATTCTGTAGGGTATTGGGAAATAATCACTTTTAGGCACATTCCTATTCTTATTAATTAATTAATTTTATATTATATTATTATTATTGTATTATTATTTAATTTTATTATTATTATGGTTGTATTATATTTATATTATAATAATATAATATTATTGTTTTTGTATATTATTATTATGGTTGTATTATTTTAATATTATTATCATATTATATTATTGCTTTTGTATATTACTATTATTATGGTTGTATTATTTTTATATTATTGTCATATTATAATATTATTGTTTTTGTATATTATTATTATTATTATGGTTGTATTATTTTTATATTATTATCATATAATATTGTTTTTGTATATTATTATTATTATGGTTTTATTATTTTTAAATTATTATTATCATCATATTATTATTGTTTTTGTATATTATTATTATTATTATTATTATTATGGTTGTATTATTTTATATTATTATTATCATCATATTATTATTGTTTTTGTATATTACTATTATTATTTAATGTTATTGTTTTATTATTATCATATTATATTGTTATAATATTCAATTATTATAATATTATCTGCTTTGATAACCCAACTAATATTATTATGTTTGTATTATTATTATTATTATTATTATTATTATTATGGTTGTATTATTTTTATATTATTATTATCATATAATATTGTTTTTGTATATTATTATTATTTAGTTTTATTATTTTATTATTATATATTATATTGTTATAATATTTAATTAATATACTATTATCTGCTTTGATAACCCAGCTCAAAGCAGATATTGTGGGATTTTCTGCTTTGATATTCTAGGATATAGGGCTATGTGGAAGGGTCCTCAAAGGGTCTGTGCTAAAAACAATACAAGGTACTCACAACCACCCTGCAAGGTAGACCAAGCAGAGACAGAACATTACTATCCCATTATTATATTTATTATGTATTATATTTTATATGGCTTTTATTATATTTATTATTGTTTATATATATATATTATCATCATCATTCTGCTTCCTCTTTCCCAATAGAGACTCAACACAAAAAACCATACAATTAAAACCCAAAGTATATTTTAAAAAAATGTTATATTTAATATTATAATTATATTTATGTTTTCATTATTGCTATTATTGTTCTGTTTATTATTATTATTATTATTATTATTATTATTATTATTATTGTTTGAAAGTATTATTATAATAGTTTAAACCCAAAGCATACTAAAAAAAATTAGAATTAAACACAAGACTAATAATAATAATAATAATAGGACATATAAGGACATATATTCGATGCCTGGCTTCAAATAAGTGTTGTAACCACATCCGAAATGGGACTTGCGAAAATTTCCTCCCGGGGTTAACGGATTTTCGTGCAGTTGATTCTTCTGCAATTGGTGGTTGCATGTGGCTATTTGTACCTTTGGTTCCTGCCTCTGGTTATATATCTTGCAATGATTTCGGCTGCAAAGTCCAGCCAACCATCTGGGTTCATTATATTATTATTATTATTATTATTATTATTATTATTATTATTATTATTATTATTTTACTGACACAAAAACACAGTATGACACAGCAAACAATATATTATTATTATATAGTTGTTTTATTATTATTATTATTATTATTATTATTATTATTATTATTATTATATAGTTGTTTTTAAGTCCAGGCCAAGGTCTTGAGGCACTGCGTCCAGTGTACCGATCACCACTGGGACCCTCTTGACTGGCTTGTGCCAGAATCTTTGCAATTCTATCATTGTTGTTGTTGTTGTTAGATACACAACAAGATTACTACACAGCAAACAAGGTCACTCTGCTGGCTGTTGTATTGGATCCCACATCGTACACTTTTCAGACCGTGTGATGTATCAGCAAATAATGCGTGCAGATCCGAGTCGGATGGTCTTTTGCAGCTGACAGGCAGTGATTTTGTCAGCGACGATTGTTTTTAAGTCCAGGCCAAGGTTTTGAGGCGCTGCGCCCAGTGTGCCAATCACCACTGGGACCACCTTGACTGGCTTCTGCGAGAGTATTTTTATATTATTATTATTATTATCATTATCATTATCATTATCATTATCATTATCATTATCATTATCATTATATAGTTGACAGGTGGTAATCTTGTTAGCACTGATTGTTTTTAAGTCCAGGCCAAGGTCTTGAAGTGCTGCTCCCAGTGTGCCGATCACCACTGGGACCACCTTGACTGGCTTGTGCAAGAGTATTATTATTATTATTATTATTATTATTATTATTAT